CTCTCTTCTCTCTTCTCTCTTCTCTCTTCTCTCCCGCTCTTTCTCTGATGCTTCTGTTATATGGTTTGATTCAAACTGTGTCAGGCTGTAGGAGAGTGGAGACCACACGATAGGAATCCCAGCCTATCAGTCTTAAACAATGATGTGATCAAACTCGTGCTATCGACATGATCCAATTTTGATTAGTCCGTGTCCTTCTCAACTTCCACAAACATTTCTTCAAAGTCAAACCCTTGCATGGAGATGAGTCCTTTTCTGCAGGTTATCTAAAACATCACGCAGCTTGGCCTAATGATGAGTTTATCTGGAGCCATCGCCACCGTCGATTATTGATCCTTTTCCGGTGCGTCATGTCCTGGCGTCATGATCATTTGTACCACTCAAGTTCCCGGAAACATCGGGGCTTGTGCTATTGCTAGCCACGTCAATGGAACCGAGTTCCTGCTCCAAGCGGCCCAAATGTGATAGAATCGGATCAAAGGCGGGGGGATTCCGGACATTTTGATTGGACAATATTAGCATGCTGCGGTTTATCTTCCGTGCAGTCGCCGCGGGTCTTTGCTCTCAGCTCTGGACTCAGCTGTGATCTCAGTGCCAGTGTGGGCTCCGCAGTCGCTGGCACCCCACAAAAGGGTGCGAGACGACGCGTGTCGCGTTCCCAATGACAAGCATCCCTCACGACCCTTGCGGATAGGGCTACGACCTCACGCTGTCACTGCGTGGGTGGTCCAACTTGCCGTGCTCCTCGCTGGTCCAGTCTGCATGACCGGCTCCCGTGGCGCGAGCTCACGGGCCGGTGACGTCGCCAGGTCTGAACGACTCGCATGATTCGTGCCACGAGGATCAGGAGCCCAACGCGGACGACAAGAACCACAACCTGACGCCGGACTGCAGCCAGCCGCTGGCGGCCGGCTCGTGCGCCCAGACGGCCCAGCCGGACGCCGCCGACCGCAGTCGCCAGCCGCGCCCCGAGCCGGTGAGGTGCTGACGGAGCTGGCCCTCCGTCAGGACGGGACCTTGTCGGCCGCGTCTCGGTCTGGGGGAGGTGATGCGCCACCGTCCACCAGGGCAGTCTCACGAGCCGTGCTACGAACGGGCGGGAATGTGCCGGCCGGCGCTAGGTAAGGACTGTCGGCCGGCCGGCGCTAGGTTAGGAAGGCTGTCGGTCGGTACGGGCCGGGTGACACGTGCTCGCCCTGGAAGCCGGCTCTGACTGACATCCAGCTGCTGTATCTGAGCGGTCTGCCTGGGGTGTCCCCGTTCGTCTCTGATCTCGGTGCCGGTCGGCTCTGCAGCGGCCCGACGGCCCGGACGCGGCCGTCTCCTCGGAGCCGGCCGGCCGCTCGGCTCGTCCCGACGAGGCCTGCGAACGCTTCAGCGCGCAGGAGCGCGTGGCGCACAGCAGCGACTTCACGGTCATCATCCACGAGCACGAGCACCGCCACCACGGCCACACACACACGCACGGCCACATCCACCAGCCGCCGAGCTCGGCCGCCGCCGTGGCCGGCATGGTGATCGTGGGCGACGGTCTGCACAACTTCACCGACGGCATGGCCATCGGCGCGGCGTTCGCCGCCGGCCTGGCCAGCGGCCTCTCCACCTCGGTGGCCGTCTTCTGCCACGAGCTGCCGCACGAGATTGGTGAGTCGCCGCCGGCGGCCGCTGGCGGTCAGAACGGTGGTGGTGTGGGATCTGCCGAGAGGTGATCCCGGGGCTCTGAAAATAGCGGTTACCCCGTGACATTGGTGACTGTTTACGCGTGCAGTGTTGGCAGCCGCTGTGGCGTGAATTGAAATACACGCTCCGGTCTTTTACCGGCGTGTGAGAGTGCGGGCATTTCGACGGGTGGCCCGGTCCGCCACTGCCGCCTGAACGCCCCTCTCTCTCGCGACTGACGGCTGTCTGCTGGCTCCGCCGCGCAGGGGACTTCGCCGTGCTGCTCAAGTCGGGCATGTCGGTGCGTCAGGCGCTCTTCTACAACGTGGTGTCGTCGGTGCTCTGCCTGCTGGGCATGGTGCTGGGCATGGTGCTGGGCAACATCGAGGCCTTCAGCAGCTGGGTGTTCGCGGCCGCCGCCGGATCCTTCATCTACATCGCGCTCGTCGACATGGTGAGTGTCGCCTATTCCCGGGGAGGGGGGAAGGGGTCGTTCGTATCCGTGCTCGTACGTGTTTTTTTGTATTTGCCGCTGTGTGCTGCTGCCGTAACTCTTAGTGAGGACTAAGTGCCGCACGAGATCAGTCGGCGTTTGAGGCGCCGGGCTGCTGTGTCTCGTCTCGCCTCGAGACGTGCACCTGATGTGGGGTCCTGGTGTACGCTGTTGTGCTCGTCTCGTCTCGAGACGTGCACCTGACGTGAGGTCCTGGTATACGCTGTTGTGCTCGTCTCGTCTCGAGACGTGCACCTGACGTGAGGTCCTGGTGTACGGTGTTGTGCTCGTCTCGCCTCGAGACGTGCACCTGACGTGAGGTCCTGGTGTACGCTGTTGTGCTCGTCTCGTCTCGAGACGTGCATCTGACGTGAGGTCCTGGTGTACGCTGTTGTGCTCGTCTCGTCTCGTAGTGATGCACACCTGATGTAAGGTCCTGGTGTACGCTGCTGTGCTCATCTCGTCTCGAGACGTGCGCCTGACGTGAGGTCCTGGTGTACGCTGTTGTGCTCATCTCGTCTCGAGACGTGCACCTGACGTGAGGTCCTGGTGTACGCTGTTGTGCTCGACTCGTCTCGTAGTGGCGTGCGCCTGACGTGAGGTCCTGGTGTACGCTGTTGTGCTCGTCTCGTCTCGTAGTGGCGTGCACCTGACGTGAGGTCCTGGTGTACGCTGTTGTGCTCGTCTCGTCTCGTAGTGGCGTGCACCTGACGCGAGGTCCTGGTGTACGCTGTTGTGTTCGCCTCGTCTCGTAGTGGCGTGCACCTGATGTAAGGTCCTGGATCGCGGGCGTTGATTGGTTCAGCGCGCGTTGTATTGCAGAGCGCCTCGGGTTCTTAATGGCCTCATCAAATCCATCTTCATCAGAGCTGCTCGAAAACAGTCATCTTTGGAAGCGTCCGGCTAAAATGGAAGGAAAAAAATGTAATGTTTTCTACATGGACTGTTCGTTGACGTAACCACTTACACATTTGAACATATTGCGCTAGTGAATATCACGTAGAGGCAGTTCCTACCGGCGGTACTGCAGTCAGAGCGAGTCCTACTGTACGATGAAGACTTTTTTCGATCGGGCTAGCTGTCCACATTTTAACAAGCAATATCTTCGCAACCACAAATTGCAGGTCCATGCAGTTTGCAGCAACAGGCAATGCCATTTTTTTTTCAAAGCAATGCTGTGTAAATCTTTGACCATTTATACGCAGGCTGTTTGATCAGGCCGGCTCTTCCTGTAACAGTGCAGTGCCACCAAGATTTTATATCCCCACTTCCATCAGATTAGCATGGAAAAGGCTGAGTTTTCCGATAGCGAAATAGCTGGCAGTTGCTCCGAAGCTGGGTCCACATCTTGGCGCCCCGGGGTCGTGGCGGTACGAGACTAACAATGGCTAGCAGGAGAGAACGGCCAATCGTATTAGCACAAATATGAGTCGATGCATGCAGGCTCTCACGTGCTCTAATGCAAACTATGAACCCGGCCTGTTTCGGGGTCTTTGTAATATTGATGTCAGATCTCAGCAACCAAACCAGATGAAGACGTGAAATAAGTGTCACGTTGTAGGCTGATGTGCCGGGTGCATCCCACTAACGAGTCTCCCTCCCCCTTATGGCTTCGTTCCCTCCCACGCCGCGCAAGTTGCCCTGCTGGCACTGACACGTCATGCCAGGCAGTTTGGCGCATGTACCAAAAGCAAAAGGACTTCCGAGTGCTGGCGCCGAGCTGTTCGATCCGTCGGAAGGATGATCGTGAGCCTGCTCACGGTCGCGCGCCCTGGCGCCGAGCTGTTCGATCCGTCGGGAGGATGGCCGTGAGCCTGTTGACAGTCGCGCGCCCTGGCGCCGAGCTGTTCGATCCGTCGGAAGGGTGGTCGTGAGCCTGTTGACAGTCGCGCGCCCTGGCGCCGAACTGTTGGATCCGTCGGAAGGGTGGTCGTGAGCCTGTTGATCGTCGCCGAGCTGTTCGATCCGTCGGAAAGGTGGTCGTGAGCCTGTTGACAGTCGCGCGCCTGCCTCCCGTCCTGTCGTTCTCTGCCGACTGCTGATACGGCTGTGCTCCTGCCGGCCAGGTGCCGGAGCTGACCGCTGGCAGCGGCGATTCGCACTCCAGCCCGTGCCGCCAGCTGACCGTCCAGCTGGTGGGCATGAGCTGCGGCGCCGGCATCATGCTGGCCATCGCCATCTACGAGAACGACCTTCACACCCTCATCGCGGTGGTGTGAGCCATGCGCCGACCCGGTCAGCGCGCGGGAGCCGCACCGCCGCCATGGCGCTGCCAGTGGGCAGCCGTCTGCGGCAGCTATATCTATACCGAGCTGTGCTGTTTTCATCGTTACCGCCTGTAGCTCTAGCCCACTTGGGGCACCGCTCTGGTCTGCTGCCGACCAAGCCACCTTAGCGGCAGAGTCTGCGTTCTTTCCCGGGCAGCTGTCGGGCAAGCGTGCTCGCCAGGTGCAGCTTTGTGTAGCACGCGCTGTCCTGTGCGTAGAGCTTCCGCACCGCGGCCCGTTTTTATGATTTTCCTCGGAGATTGCGTCAGTTGAACGCCGGCTGTGGCTCTTTGGCACCTGTTGTCTTCTTTGTCTCCACTTGGTCGTGGTGTCTCTCCCTTCCGAGTGCCTCAGGGCGGGGCTGGACGTCGTCAGGCGCTGGCTCTAGTCCACGTGCGTGGAAGCGTGCTCTGGTGTGTGCGACGAGCGTATGCGCGCGTGCCGTGTGCTTTTGTTCCGTTCGCGCCATCGTCGCAGAGGCGGCGGGCGCTGTGTGAGAGCCAGAGCTGCCAGCTGCTGGGGGGGGGGGGGGGGGAGAGGGGAAGGGGGGACCGGCGATTGTACTTCCACGGACCGCCGTGTGGAGCGGGTGGCCAGGGCCCAGGCGGCTGTCGGCCGCGCACCGCTCTTGTCCAACTCGAGCGTTTTTTACATCTATTCTGGTAATCAGAGTGCCATATTTTTCGAGGTGTCATGGAAGGGTTTGTCGCGACCAAGACCGCCACGGAGATTGCATTGTGATTTTTTCTCTTTTTTTAGTAGCTTTTTTGTGTGTGATCGGTGCAGAAGAACTAGACATTTCGCGGACGTTGTTGTGTTCTGAATGTGAAACGGGACATTTCGGACTGCTTCGCAAATTGACGAAAGGTTGATTGACACTACTTAAGCGCAGCGTAGGGCACCCACCAGCATGTGGTGCAGCCCAGCCCTCTCTTCAGCCAGACCCGCTGGCGGACCAACGGGAGGCTGTGCCACTGGGTGTATAATCGGAAAGCTACAGCTGCAGTACATTCGACATTCGATTCCCAGCCGAATCGGGCGAGGCTCTACATTGGTGCTGATATGTTGGCTCGGCGGATGCTGCACTACTTAAGATGCTTTGTGACGGTTCATTTAGTCTGCTTGATTCAGTCACTCCAAGACATTGTGGAGTTATTTCGACTGTGTGAGGTTCTGCGGGGTGTTAATGTGGGTTTGGCTGAGGAGACGGAAGCTTGGGGGTTGCATATTTTACTTATTTTGTACCGTGCAACGCGGAGTCATTTGAATCGTCCATAAGTGCTGGACTGTTGTCTCGGCCGCCCTCCACCGCTTCCCGCTCTCGTCTGCCATCCCCTCGGCCGAAACAACCATTCGTCTCTCTGTAGTCTTCTATTTCCGCGAAAGCAGGTGACTAAAGACTTAGGACTTCATACCTCTCGAGACATGCGGCTCCCTTGGACATATATCTCGGCTAATGCGATCAGGACCAGGCTGATAAGCAGCAGGGTTTGGTGTGAAGACCAGGACGTGTGCATGCAGTTAAGTACGTGTCATGGGTGTATGACACAGTCTATGAAAACGAACGCGCGTCTACAAAAGTGGTCACTTCAAGTATGCATAAGTTTGGGCTAAATTAGAAAGCACACAAGAAAGTGAATGCAACTCAATGTAACTAAAGTGTTTAAAAGTGGTCGTTTCGTATTTGTTACCCAATAATGAGTATACAAATGCGTCCGCGAACGACTTCCGTGTGCTCATTTTATACTGCACCCGTGTCCCGTTCGTCGGGGAAGAATCACCCGATGTGACGTGTGGTCTCACCGGTCTTGTTATCTAATTTGCCTTAGGCCTTGCTAGGGCAAATTAGGCCGGTTATTGCTGGGCTGGTTTCGTCTTCTGTTAACGGAGCCATTCGGGTTTCATCATGCCTTTGCATTCTCCCCGCGATGCTACCCACGATGCGGTATCAGGACAGAAGCCTCAGCACCAAGAGTCACCTCCAACATAACACACGATGTTGTTGGATCAGGAGTTGTTTCTCTTCCGGAACAGAGTGGAAGCATTCATAAGCCTCAGCTGGTGTGGTTGTAAAGCAGAAAGGAACGTTCGTTTGGTGCTCAAGAGCGAAACTTTGCAAAACAAGCAAGTGGCGCTGGTCTATCTGACCGCTTAGTATCGCGGCAAACTGTCTCGACGCTTGGCCCGTAGCTGGCGAAGCACCCGCACCGCGGACGCAATTGTGGCGGCGAGCATCGCTAATCACCGCCGCTAAACCGCTGCACCGCCAGTCACTGTTCTACATACCATGTACAATGTATTGCATGAATGGATCGAACACACACACCGAGCCGTCTCGCTGATAAATAAACACAACTCAGATCTGTGACCGTCTGGGCGGGCGTGGGCGGCGGCTCGCCTGCGCCCCGCGCGTGCCGGCCGGCCCCGCCGCGGCCGCGCGCCGTCACTCCATATAAAAGTAACAAACTTTGGTTGACTCCATCGCACCGCGCAGCGCCATCCGGCCGCGTCCTCCACCGACGGCCCGGTCCCGCCGGTCGGCCCCGCTGGGCCTCGGTCCGTGCCTCCGGCGGTCGGCCGTCGCCGCCGCCTCCGTCTCGGGTCCCAAAGCGGCGGTCGTCCCGACGGCCGGCGCGCCGCCTCCGTCCCGAGTCCCGAGGCGGCGGGCGTCCGGACCGCCGGCCCCGCCGGGCCTCGGTCCGTGCCTACGGCGGTCCTGCCGGCGCGCCGCCTCCGTCTCGAGTCCCGAGGCGGCGGGCGTCCCGACCACGCCGCGGCGTCTCACACGTTCGATATCTTGGAGTCGGGGATGACGGGCCAGTTGTCGGCCCGTTTGACAGTGGCGGCCGAGCCGGGGGTGCCGGGGCGGCCGGCGAACACGGGCGGCCCCTGGCGGTGGCCGGCCGGCGCCGGCGGCGGCGGCGGCGCGCCCTGGCCGGCGCGGCTCAGTGAGGTGCTGCCCGTGTTGTTGCTGGGCCCGGTGCTGCTGTGCTGGCTGCCGCCGGCCGAGTACTGGCTGTGGTGGGACGGCAGGTGCGTGGCCGTCACATCCGGCATGCCCTGCCACGTGCGCAGCCGGGCGTGGATCTCGCGGAACGTCGGCCGCCGCGACGCCATCTCGTGCCAGCACTCGATCATGAGCGCGTACATGATGGACGGACAGTCCTCGGGGCAGGGCAGCAGCTGACGGCACCGCACCATGTCCATCACCTCGGCGTTGTTGTACCCGTAGTACGGCTGGAACGGAAGGCGTCTGTCAACGCACCGCCAGGCGGGCGGACCGGCCGCGCCCTCTCTGACCACTTTTGGCGGGTCGGCACCACTGGTATGCGGCTGACCAGTGTTCCACATTCACACGATTTGCTTTGCAATCGCGTGACCTCTTCGTTTACTGTTCTGCTCGCATGGGCACTGATACACGAAAGCACATGGGACCCAGGGCAATTTCTTTGGATGGAAACAATTCAGCGCAAAATCAAACATCCCCGCCAGTTTCATCAATTTTATCACTCTTGTTAATCTTTACGGTCAGATCTTCCGGTCTTTCGTCATCTTTTCTTCTTTTAAATGTGTTTGTCGATGCTTTAAAAAAATGATTTTTCATTGAAGTTAAGAGCAATTTTATAGTGGTTCTGCGCACATTAAAAAATACCATGGAACGTTTGTTGTACACAGTGAGACTGCAAACCCGTGTGTTGCACGTTTGTCGCCTGATTCCGAGGCGAGCGGCCGCCGGCCGGCGGCTTCGGAGCAGGCAAGACCGGGCGGGCCGGCACTGACCTGCAGGCCATAGCTGAAGATCTCCCAGAGGAGTACGCCGAAGCTCCAGACGTCAGACTCGGTGGTAAACTTGCCGTACAGGATGCTCTCGGTCGGCATCCACCGCACCGGCAGCAGAGACTTGCTCTGCACTCTGTCAACGGCCGGACACGTTACTTCCGAACTTACGGCGGCGGTCAGTACAGTATTGCTGCTGGAATGCACGGGTGTAGGTATGTAGGTGTGTTGGCATATAGGGTAACCGCTGAACGGCATAATGCGCGCCAAGGAGCGGCGGTTGCAGCGGCAAAGTCCAACAGCGTCAGCAAAGACAAGTTTGAGGCGATAAAGACACACAGATATCAAATAATTTAAAACTTGCAGCACGTTTGTGAGTTCATATTTGATATCTAACACAAGTTCCTACATCCGCACGCCAAGTTCGTACAAGTTATCACGTTATCATCGTAAGCTTAGCTGCGACAGCAGCTTCGCATTGGCAGCCATCAGCTGCTGGTCAGCTCAGTCCCATGCCCACCTGTAGTAGTCTGAAGAGTAGATGTCGCGCGACAGGCCAAAGTCTGATATCTTCACTGTCAAGCTGTCCCCGACCAAGCAGTTTCTGGCCGCTAAATCTCTATGCACGTAATGATGACTAGCTAAAAACTCCATCCCTGCAAACAACGAACAACCTAATTAGGCCCCACTCAGAGTATTCCACTTGGAGCACCAGCATCAGCACTCTCCCCCAACTTTGTGCAAAAGGAGCTGCCGTAGCCACTCAACGGCAAACTTCAGTCAACTTCGAGGCTTCACCGCACAATCATTACTGCGTTATTCTGACTTTCAGCATATCACATGCTTTTACGATTTGATGCTGCAATGGCCTGCCCTGCCCAAGCGCAGCACAACCATTCGCCTGCAGAATAACTCAACCAAACCACTGGCCTGACCGGTCCCTTCCAAGCCAGTTGCCCGGACAGATGGCAGCACTGCGGCAGGTGGCAGCAGCGTCGCGCACCTGCGGCCACCTGGGCGGCGATCAGCAGCATGTCCTGCTGCTCGAGCGTGATGACGGCGCCGTCATCGCTGCAGCCGGAGACGTCCGAGCGCGGCGAGTGCAGCGTCAGAAACTCGTGCAGGTCGCCCTGGCTCATGTGCTCGAAGATCATGCAGCGGGGCGCGTCCCGCAGCACCACGCCCAGCAGGCAGACGATGTTGGGGTGCTGCAGGTCGGTCATCAGCTCGGCCTCGCGCGCGAAGTCCTGCTGCGTCTTCTGGCCGGCGCCCTCCTTCAGCGTCTTGATGGCCACGGGCAGGACACCGCCATCGCCGTGGAAGCCGACCAGCTCACCGCGGTACACCTTACCTGCGGGGCGGGGGGGGGGGGGGGCGTCAGACAGCGCGAGGGCAGCAGTGCGGGCCGGCAGCCCAGCAGCCGTCGCTCACCGAACCGTATGGTAGAGAAGGGCACTGAGTCTCTGTAGCACCACAGATCGAGGCCGACCGAACGTCGCGGCGTCGTTTTCCCGGCGCCCGTCAGTCGACGCCAATGTCATCGGCGATTGTCCGCAGCTCGTGAGAAAACTTCGCCTCATGGCGACGCTCAATGGCCTCCAGTCGCTCAGAATGGGATATAAATAAAACGGAGACGATCGGACGACCAGATAGATAAAACGGAGACTTGGAGTGGGGACTCCCCGGCGCAGAACTACCAAAGTTACAGGGTTATGACTCAAGCAGCTGAAGGAGGCGACAGCTATCTGATGAAACATCGGGACGGCAGCCTACATCCGCCTGTTTCGGGCCAGAGCAGCAACGTCCAAAAAAGTGTTTGACACTCACCAAAAGCACCCTCTCCCAGCTCTTGCAGGAAGCGGACCTTGTGGATGGGGAACTCGCGCGCGCGCTGCTTGGGCAGCAGGGCGCTCATCTCCACGGGCGCGGCGCCGGTCGCCTTCAAGCCGTAGGTGGGCGAGGCGGCCTTGCTGCGCATGCGCCGACAGACGCAGCAGCCGATGATCGCCAGGATGCACAGGGCTAGGAAGCCCACACTGCGGGGGGGGGGGGGCGACGTCAAAACTGTGCTGGAGGACAGTCAGCAGCCAGGCGCACGGCGGGCACGCGGACCGAAACACAGTCAAATATGCAGCGTGATTAGGTACGTGATAGCCCCAGGCTCATGATATCATATTGGATAGGTGAGTCATTTGCAGCGGATGGAGTAAGATATGCAGTCAAGAGAACATGCGTTTCATCGATTTGCAATTCGGCGCACGAGGTTTTGTGATAGCATGACAGTAGCATTCACTGGCTTTTACATACGAGAAAACAAAACAACCCTTCACTGACGTGACCCGCATGGCGGTTGGGCCGTGTGACAGATGAGCCCCAGACCGCACGGCAGCCGGCGGGCCGCTGACCTGGGCACGACGATGTACCAGAGGAGAGGGTCGGTGCAGCGCGGCAGGCCGCAGCGCTCGCGACCGCCGTCCGGGCCGCTCGTGTAGCACCACGGCTCGGCGTCGAGCCCGTCCCAGTTGCGGCAGTAGGCGTGGCCGCCGAGCAGCGCCGGCTGCCGCTCGGCCAGCCGGCCGTACTGCCGCTGCCGGCTCCACGGCTGGCAGGGCCGGCCCGAGGCGGCCATCTGCGCCGTGCCGGCGTACTCGACGCCGTCGGCCGTGAAGCAGGTGTGCTCGGCACGCACAGGCGCCAGCCGAGGCAGGCCGAGCCGCACGCAGTCGGCCGCCGCCGCCGTGCCCACCACCGGCAGCGACTCGCACACGGGCAGGTGGATCTTGAGCCCGATCAGCGGGTGCTTGAGCGCGATGGCGTACTCGAGCTTGCAGCGCTGGTCCTTGAGCGCCTCACACTCGTCGCGGCAGATCTGCTGGGCGCGCGCCGGCTGCGCGCGCGCGTCGCATGGCGGGAAGGCGGCCACGCACACCGACTGGACGGCGTGGTCGCCGCACGACTGCCGGACACAGGAGCGCGGCTGAGCGGCCGGGCCGACGGACGAGGCGCATACAGCACGCACATAAGCTTCCGCTCAAATCAGGGGCACGGCCAGCAACCTCTTCATTCAGGCGAACCGTTGTGCATACTTATTCATGCAAATTCATGTAAGGGCACAAGCCCTTTAAAATCATGCACTTCTACCATGGATCTGTTTCCAGGTGAAACAGATGTGTTAGGTCTGACTACTAGACAAGAGGTTCGGCACGGCAAAGCATCCATAGGCAGCTGCAAAGACGCGGAGCGGGCCCCTAAAGGCACATACAGTAAAGTATCGGAGCGTCCAATGCGACGTCACGTTCAGATTGGAGATCACACTGTCGAGACAACGTCGCTCAGATCCCCCGCATCCTGCGGTGACTAGCCGCCGGCCCACCTGGGAGAGGTCGGCCGATTGATCGATGACACTCAGCGCCGCCATCATGCGCTCCTCCATGCGCCGCTGGCTGTCCGTCTCGGCCACGAACACGGTGCGGTTGCGCAGGTGGCGCGCGCACGCCAGCCCCTGGTAGGGCTGACAGGTGCCCGCCAGGAGGCGCGGGCTGTCCGGCGGCTGGAGCGAGTGCGTCGAGGCGAGGTTCGGCACGAACTGGCCCGGCCCGTCGTCCGGCCCGGTCAGCAGACTGTGCAGACCCTCCAGACCAGCGTCCCCCGACGCGGGCCTGGAGACATCGCGGACAGCGCTGGGTCAGGTCGCGGTCAGATCAGCCGGTCCAGAGACGGCCAGCTTAGTCGGTCCAGGGACGGCCAGGTCAGCCCGTCCAGGGACGGCCAGGCGGGCGACGTCACGCTGGTCCAGTAGACACCGGCCATGCAGAGCTAGGATCGAAGCACGGATCGAGAGAGGCACAACACGAGCCATACAGAGTGTTGGGACCAGGAATATCAGTTCGATACAGATGTCAGAGCCGGCGCGCCAGCGTCCTGCCAAGGCCGCCTCCTGAGCCTGGCACTGGATGGTTATTGGGAGAAGTGACGCGGGCGATCTGTTCACATTGCCAACGAGCGTACGACAATGAGGCGCGCGCGCGCTGTGGGGGCTGTCGCCACCCGCGACACTTGACGAATCAATGAGCAGGGTCGTTTGGTTCCGCTGCAGAGATGACGTACTAGAGGGGCGCGTGCCCGTGGAGCAGTCAGGCCCCGCTCGCGACCAGAGACGGCGGGCACTCTGGCGCACTGCGACTAATCGGAATCGCGTCATCATCTGCAGCGGCGTCAGCGGACGCCATATTTCGTTGCAGCCCCGAAACGTGAGCCGGCCCGGCTTCGGCGCGTGTCGCAGCCCAGCTGCAGACGAGTCGCTGACCCCAGGGGCCGGGCCCGCCGGCTCGGAGCACACGCGAGGTGCGCGCCCGAAGCACAGCGGCACCGGAGCCGGCGGTTTGGCGAGCGGTGATGACGGCTGGTCCAACCCACGGCAGACCCGCCCGTCCCGCCCCGCCCCGCCCGCACCCTCAGACTTCGGGCGCCACGACAGACTTCGGGCGCCACGAGTGGTGACGTGCTCGCCAATGGAAAGCTCGACAGCGGGTGCCTCCCTACACCACGCGCGCGAGTCACCCGGCTCGTGGCGCGCGGTCGCAGCAGCGGTTGCCTCGCTGTCTCCCTACACCACGGATACGACAGTCATCTGGCTCGTGGTATGCAGTCGCGACAGCGGTGAAGCGGCGACAGGAGCTTACCGTATACGACACGTACTACTCTACAAGCGTGCGCAGCTACCGAAGTCGCGGTCGCATCGGACAAACGAGGGACTGGTACAAAGGCGGCGCCTGATGCCCGAGACCGGTGTCGGGGTCGGCAGCGGCTCAATAACTGACGTCGGCGGCCCGCTGACGTCACTTAGCGAGCCGCCGCCCTCTGCAGGACAGCAGGACGGAGAGGCCGGCAGGAGCAAAGGGCGGTGCTGGGATCAGCAGCGGCTCGCTTACTGATGTCAGCGGCCCGCTGGCTGAGCTGCTGGACAGAGAGGGCGGCGAGGGCAGAAAGCGGCCTGCAGTGGCCGGGTAACCGGTCCCAGCAACTATCGAAGTGCTCAAGTCGCCTGCGCGCAACTCACTCGATAGGCGACCCCAGCGCAGGGAAGTCGAAGATGGGCTTGACGGGCGGAAACGCCGGCACGTCCATAGATGTTTTGGACCCTCCTGAAAGTGGTGCAAGAAAGTGAGTATTGTCAGGGGTGAAGGATATGGCTCAGACATTGGCGCATGTCCTGCATGAGACATGAGTGATTTAAGCACAAAATACGCACAACCTTAAGAGAAATTAGAAAAACACGGCCATATCAGGCCCGCTCTTGATCAGCCAAGTCCACGACAATCCAGTCCCACGCCAAAGGCCACTGTGTGTACCACTTACACCGAAGCACAATCCACACCCAGCTGCCGTGTACGGTCCACCCCCACCAGCACAAGCGCGCCCTGCACAAGCCGCCTACTCACTGGGCCTGGCGGCCGCGTCGCCGCCGTCGGCCGGGTTGACGATGACGATGGCTGTGCTCTCGGCGCGGTGCCGGCCGTTGGACGCCAGGCACCGGTAGTAGCCCGTGTCGTGGGTGTTCACCCGCTCGATGCGCAGCCGCATGCGCCAGCCGTGCCGCGTCGGGTGCGCCTTGCGCATCTGCGCCTCGCCGCGCTCCAGCTGCGCGTGGTTTCGGTACCAGCGGAAGCGCGTGGGCGGCGGGTCGCCGGCGAACTCGCAGCGCAGCTTCAGCGTCTCTCCCGAGGTGAGCGTCAGGTTGCGCAGCGGCTTCAGAAGGCGCAGCGTCTGCTCGCCGCTCTCGCTGCCGGTGGGGACGGTGCGTCAGGCGGCGCGGCGGCCGGACGGACGGCTCCCGCGGTCTTCCCGATCCCAGCGGACCACACGGCGCGTGCCCGGGGTCAGCCGCCCCGCCGCGCTGTATCGACATCCCGTCAGAGTCAAATAATGCCGGGCGCGGCGGGGGGCCGGCGCGCGCCGCCAGCTCACGCGCTGATATGGCGGGGGGGTGTCACCCGCCATTGTCCGGCGCGAGCGAGGCGTTGGTGCGGCCGCCCAGGCGGCCGGGCACGGCGTCCGCCTGACCGTGAGAGGGGCACGCCGGCGGACGGAGACGGTACACAGGAGGCACGGCCGCGCGCTCAGGCGCGTGAGGCGGCGCCGGCGTGCACACCGCACAACGGCCGCCCCCTCGCCGGTCACCATCGCTCAGCGCACCCGCTGGCGAGCGCGGAACAGGCGCGCACAATGGGCGGCGGCGGCGGTGCCGATCACCACGCGCGACGGGGACCGATGGTGGCCCATCGCCGACACGGGCTAAGTGGTCCGCCGGGACGGCCTGAGGTCGGCCTGACCGATCGGTGTCGATTACCGGAGCGGCCGACATGGTGTCGGCGTGAGGGTCGTGGCGCCGCTCGGTCCCCGATCGGTGCTCAACGCTCAGCAGACGCCGCTGCGGCTGAGGAGAGCACCAGGGAGACTGTGGTCGAACGTGCAAGGGGATGTTATGTCGAAAGGTGCTCAGATGTGCGCAGGAGGATACGTTTATTCATAGGCCGGAGACGTCAATGTCTAAAATGCCGAATTTGTCCCGGTTCAACACGGCATTTCGCCACTGTTTGCTGCACGTGGTCAAACACTTCTGGTCGTGCACCCCACCAGAGCCGGCGGGGCGCTCACGAGGGCTGCGATGCTCGGCCGGCAGGTCCTCAGCACCGAGCCCAGGCGGATCCTCAGCACCGAGTCCCGGCGGGTCCTCAGCACCGAGCCCCGGCACGTCCTCAGCACCGAGCCCCGGCGGGTCCTCTGCACCGAGCCCTGACGCGCCGCCTTAGCTCATCACCAGGCGGCCGAGTGAGGCGGATAGCGCTAACCAGACGCCGTGAAATGTTTGACGTTGCGAACGAGTCGGCCAGGCTGCGTGTTTGTCTTTGCAGGCCGTGCTGACAAACGGCACGTCAGCGTGTGTGCGGTCCGCGGTGTCGACCGGCGGCCGCAGGGCCCCAGCTGGGACCCACCCCCAGGGGACCGCCGGCGCGGCGCCGCTGGGGAGTGGCAGGGCGCGCCGCCGTGACGGCCGCCGTGCAACAACGGCTGCATCGGGCTGCAAGAACGCAAACCAACGAACTGAAAGGCAGGGTCTCGTGAAAGGAACTAAAGGGTTAATAACTAATACTGAATGACTTGTTCTGCTCAGTGCGACACCGAGAGACACCGGAATCACCTGAAAAGGGCAGCAAATAGAGAACGTAATGACATCATTCAGCCGCTTGAATGTGATCCTCACTTGCGCACGGGGTGGGTCGACAGGCGCTGTCATTATCAGTTACATTGTGGTGGGAACCCATCAATATCACTTGCGTGATTAGATCTCATCGGTCGACATATGCGTCAAGGTGCAAAAACAACACAATTAGTCTTGATTAATGACAAAGAGTAAGCGCTGGAAAACATGGTCCGGAAGTCGTGTAGGCAGCTGAACAGCTATGAGACTACCACAAATGCCGTGAGTGTCGGCTGCTACTGAGAGAGCATTTAATTACCGCCCGTCTCTTAAATGGCGATATTCGGGTCAAGCACATGCTAAAGAAAGAGAACAACAACCACGTGCCATTTGCACACGGGAGCAATGCGTTCCCGACGGTACTGAGCTCAGCTGAGGTGCGGCGCGAGCCATCCGCGGACGCAGGCTCACCTGCTGTTGACGGGCATGTCGTCGTACTCGTCATAGTCGTACTCGAGCGCCTCTTCGATGCGGCCCTCGCCTTCGACGCTCTCCTCATTGATCACTGCAAAAGAGACGGCGCGCGGTGAGTGTCCCTGTCCCCAACGGCTGGGCGGGGAAGGGCGGCGAGGTCGAAACAGACTGAGGAAGCTCTCTGTCCCGAACGACCGGGCGGGGAAGGGCGCGGGAGGTCGGAGCAGACTGAGGACGGCCGGGCGGGGAGGGCGGGGGAGGTCGGAGCAGACTGAGGTAGCCCTCTGTCCCGAACGACCGGGCGGGGAAGGGCGCGGGAGGTCGGAGCAGACTGAGGACGGCCGGGCGGGGAGGGCGGGGGAGGTCGGAGCAGACTGAGGAAGCTCTCTGTCCCGAACGACCGGGCGGGGAAGGGCGCGGGAGGTCGGAGCAGACTGAGGACGGCCGGGCGGGGAGGGCGGGGGAGGTCGGAGCAGACTGAGGAAGCTCTCTGTCCCGAACGACCGGGCGGGGAAGGGCGCGGGAGGTCGGAGCAGACTGAGGACGGCCGGGCGGGGAGGGCGGGGAGGTCGGAGCAGATTGAGGAGGCAGACTGAGCCCCAGACGGACAGGCAGGGCGGGGAGGTCGGAGCAGACTGAGGAGGCTCTCTGTCCCAGACGGCTGGGCGGGGAAGGGCGCGGGAAGTCGGGGCAGACTGAGGGGTCTCTCTGTTCCAGACGGCCGGGCGGCGTAGCGCGGGGTAGGTCGGAGTAGACTGAGGGGGCAGACTGATTCTCAGAAGGACAAGCGAGGTAGAGCGGGGTAGGTCGGGGGAGGCCGGAGGAGACTGAGGAGGCAGACTGAGTTCCAGAAGGACAGGTGGAGCGCGGAGGCTGAAGCAGACCCGGATGCGCCGAGGCTGTCTGAGTGCAGCAAAGTTTGTCAAAGGAGGCGGATCGAGGAGACTGCTACCGCAAAGACAGGGTTTCAACGGACAATTCTTTGCAGGGAACAATGGTGTGAGGCACTGGTCGCTAAACACATCGATCTCTAGAAAGTAGGGCATGTTGGGGAAGCAGTGCAGCCTTGCGTCAGACAACTTAGCGGTATTGTGCCAAAACCAGCGCAGTAAGACAACACTGCCGAATATTTTAGCCGCCATGAGGCATGACAAAAATATAAGTTCAAATTCCATTCCACAAACACCGGAGCCCTTACCACGTCAGCAATTAGTCCTTAATGAAAACAAGGACGGCATTAATACGCTTAACCGCTGCGACGTTCACAACAACTGGCAGAGGCAGCCGACGAGTGGATGCTCTAGACGAGGACACCGGCAAGAAGAAGAGGCGTTGTCCGATCGGACGCGTTCGGCCCGGTCTGTCGACCGGCGAGGCTGTGGCTGACGAGGGCCACGCGCGGAGTGGCGAACGAGTGTCACGCGAGGCCGTGGCTGACGCGTACCTCGCGCGGAGCGACAGACGAGGGTCATGCACGAAGCGGCAGACAAGGGTCACCTACAGAGCGGTAGACGAGGGTCACGCGCGGAGTGGCGGGCGAGGGTCACGCGTGGAGTGGCAGACAAGGGGAGGCGTAGCGCGAGCGACGTGTGAGGGATCGATGGGAGCTTCCCCGCGCCGCGCGCCCCTCGGGGCCGTCACCTCAGGCGCGCCGGGGCGCGGGAGAGGTGGCCCAGGCCGCCGCCGCTCGGTCCATCCATCACGTAAACATCAGCCGAGGCGGCGCTAATGTTCCGGAAACGTGTCGGTACCGCGCCGGCGCCTCGGTCGCCGAGCCGGGAGCCCACGCCGTGCCCCGGCCCACCGGCCGAGCCGGCGTTCGGACCAGCCGCGGCGGCGAGGCTGGCTGCAGCGGCACTAGCGGCGCTACTATCTAGATCCGCCCGAGGACGACCAGCGTGCGAGGCAAGGTGTGAAGACAGGCGCAGTTGATAAGCGAGTCTTCCACGACGTCTGCGATGAAATCTTGACTGCATGATCGCGGTGTCGAAACATCTCAAAGCCCGAACCCCAAACATGTGCCGTTTTTGTATGCACTGGAGTCCACAAGGTTCGGATTGTCACACGGTGATAGCGATTCTCAGACACCCATGGAGCAGTCCGTGCATTCAGGTCAAGTGTCGGTATCAGTGGCCTTGCCGACGACCACTCTTGTAGCAGCTTCGGCTGAAGCAGCCGGCACCGCTGCAGATGGAACTGCTACGACAGAAGTCACACCATTTGGAATTCGGCGTCCCACAATAAAACCGTCAACAAATCGGCAGCGTGTACATAACCATCGAGCGATGAGACGGGCCCGTTCCCCCCGCTCCGAACGGTGCTGCTGCGCCGTTCTGTGTTGGCCCATCAAAGTCACAGATAACGACGTCTGAATCAATGTAACTGGTGAACTTTCAGTAATTGTGTGTGTTTTAAGACCGAGGATAATCCATACGTTGAGCTGGTGTCATGAGGCTGCTGGCCCCGGCACACAGGCGATAGAGTCATCTCATCAGCTCCCTCTTGTCGCCGACAGAAACATCGGCATGAGAAGTCCCTTACCCGTTGTTAAAAGTATAGTCACCTGCCGGAGCTGACCCTGCCCGGCCGCTGACACAGGAAGAGCTGGGAACAAATTATTTCCCTCGGCTATGTTTCCCTTTATGTTATCGACACACACGTCAACAGTAGCAACTCTCCCCTCTCTCGTTTCTTTCAGTTGACCAACGCATACAGTGGCAGACAAGGTCTTTCCTTCCTACTCGCCAACACAGACAAAAGCAAATCCTTCGCCTCTGGTCGCGAACGCCGCCAGCTCGGAAGCCCCGCGCCGGGACGATTACCCCGCGAGCAACAGGCTGCGAATCCGGGCGCTTATCACCGCCTAGTGGAAAGCGATAATTCCGCCGCTGCCCGGGCCGCGGAGGGATCCCACTGATTATATGTGAAATGCGCTTTTAATTAAAGCGTCTGAAGCATATAACTAGACTGTTAATAAACGGGGCGCCATATCGGGCAGGTCCATTGTTCGCCGCTCGGGTGTCAACGTTGTGGAAATTCGTGGAAACTAATTTCGCTGAAGATATATCTCTTGCCCTGCCTTCGTGATGTATTATGTCAGTTCAGTTTACCAACGAGACACGTGCTAATAGCCAGCCGTCAGTGCCCCGGAAAAGCAGCATACTAAAAAGCTAAAATATCGACGGAACGTATTTTTGTGAAGTTGATATCCTGCCACGGGGGGAGAGACCTCTATCCATGTAATATTAAAGTGGCATCCTGCCAGTCATCGCCCTGAGGTCGACTTAGGAAAAACAGGGGCGCCCCGGCGCGGCTCTGGCCATCCATCACTTGCCATTAACCAGGAAATTCAAGCCGGGCCGAGGGGAATGATGAGCCCGATTGGTGATCGATCTCCGAGCTGACTGCTCGCACAGCGGCCGGCGCCGGCGGTCGGCACAGCACAGCGGCCGGCGCCGGCGGTCGACACAGCGCAGCGGTCAGCGCCGGCGGTCGGCACAGCACAGCGGCCGGCACCGGCGGTCGGCACAGCACAGCGGCCGGCGCCGGCGGTCGACACAGCGCAGCGGTCAGCGCCGGCGGTTGGCACAGCACAGCAACCAGCGGCGACGGTTGGCCTAACATAGCGGCCGGCGCCGGCGGTCGGCACAACACAGCGGCCAGGGGCGGCAGGAAGCAGAGCACAGCGGCACAGTACAGCAGCCAGCGGCAACCACAGCAGCCGCCTGGCTGCGCTGGCAGATACAGCAGCCTGGATCCAGTGAGCAGACTGAACGGCCCGAGCAAAGTAAGCCGAGCCAGCAGCTGGAACCGCAGCAGGTGGAGCTCGGCTGACCGCTGACTGAACGGCCCGGGCAAAGTAAGCCGAGCCAACAGCTGAAGCCGCAGCAGGTGAAGCTCGGCCGACCGCCCCATAGAGTACAGCGCGTCTGACGAGGCGGGCAGGGCCGCGACTGAAAGCCAGCCCCACATGCCCTCACGGCCCCCAAGCTTCTGCTCCTCTGACGACTGAAGCTAACGGCCAGAAGATCAGCCCGTCCAGACTCCCGCTGGGCCCGACAAGAACGCGCCGAGCGCGGACCGTTCGTCCCGGGAGTGGGCCCGCAGCCGTATCGCGCCGGAACCGCGTTGGTAAACACAGCTGCACGGCGTGGGAGCGGGTCGGCTCTCCAGACACTTGCCCGTCCTCGGTCGGCCGGCCGGTACCGTTGCCTTTGCGGCCGGCGGTATGCGGACCCCAAACACCTCTTGACAGGGGCGCGCGAGTGGCGGGCCGTCGCAGGTGTTGGGGAATGCAGGGGTGTTTGTGGTGGGCGGTGTGTGCCCGCCTCGGCTGACCTGGCAGGTGTCAGCCCGACCCCCGCCCGTGGAGGTGCCGGTCTCCAAGCGGGGTGTTTCGGCGCAGTGCCGCGTCAGTGTCACCGGGCTCTTGATCGGTCCAGTACCAACCGGTCACCCCGACATTAAGTGGGATGAGCCCGCACTGACGACGGGAGAGGCGGATTGGTTGTCAGGGTGCAGAACATTGGGCTGGGGTCAAGGAGCAGTGCACCGGCGACACAAAAGGATGCCGCTTGCCGCGTCTGGGGGGGGGGGGGGGGGTCGTCGGGGAACGCCGCCCGCCACGTCTGGGGGAGTCGTTGGAGTTGATAACGTCGCAGCCGACTGGGAGTGCATTAACTTGTTAAACCAGGTGGTACACAGCGTGACGCGGATCAACCCGAGATTCTCATCAGACGTCCAGGGTTCGTCGAGTCCTCAGGGCAACAAAGACGGTATCGAACAAACGACGCACTCGACGGTATGAAGAAATGGGAGGCAGCTGAACGTCGGTGTCGGATTATTTGAAACCCGCGAGAGCACTTCGTCTGCCAATAAAACCGCTGTCATAAAATCCTCCCCGACTGTTTGCAAATATTCGATAGAGGGTAACGTCCAAATATGAAACTTACAAATGCAATATGGGCTATAAACCACTAAATGTAAGCTGGTGTTGAGAAAGTCGGTATTTCAGTGTAAATGTCATTGAAGTCACATGCATGGATCATAATATGAATGGGTGGAGAGAAAAAGAAAGCAAGCCAATAAGAC